CCTGTTCCAGCCAGGCTTTTTGTGTGGGCTGAGGTGGAATTGGGTTTAACGCTCCGCTGGCAAGCCGGCTTCAGGCCGTAGTGCCAGTAACCCCAATCTCCGCCAGCTTCTGGCTAAAAAGGCTCTGCAATTGTCTGTGCATTAATTTAAATGCACTGTTTGGCTAGCCAATTTAATGGCAAGTCATTAGTTTCTGTCTGCAGCCAGTTGGGCTCTGGAAAAAATGTATAAAAACCAAACTAATTTCGTTTTAAGGGGGCCTTTATTCATGGGCCATGACTGAGGGAATTATTTAAAGTGTCACAAATTCGTTTTACAGCATATATTTTCCCTTACATGTAACATGATATATTCGGTTTTCTTTTATTTGTTATTATGTTATTGTAATAAGACTGAATTAATTGGAGCTAAAAACTATTAGTAAATGACTTTTGTTCAAAATTTGTATGCTGTTTTAAAACTTAACTTCAATTTATTTATTAAAACACTTTAAACCATTTGCGCTGCAGAAGCACAATTTGTGCCGAGTCCAGTGGGCATGACAGCTTTTATCTGCCTTTGTTCCTTAATCATACGGCTCTTAAAATTACAAATCACCGCCATCAGCGAGGCGCCAAGGACATTGGGAGGCTGGCCGGCTGCAAGGATAATAACAGACAACCTGCTGCACAAGATTGAATTCCCACTTTTCCCTCGCAAGTGTCCTTAACAGTGGCCATTTAACGGTAATTATTGCAACACTGTGGCACATTTTAAGTGCTCTCGCAGCGAACTTTTCATTCTTTCATTCGGCTCGTCCAGTTTGATGGTCAACACCTGGCCAACAGCCAATTGGCCCACCTGGGCTGCATAAATTTCCGCCTCAGCATTTTACTTAATCCCGTCTATTTTGCGAAAGGATTATCAAGGCAACTTTTTAATTCGCCGCCCAAGTGGCCGTGCAACATCGCCGCCATCGGTCGTGATGTCAGCAGTTTTGTGCGGTGGCCTTTTAATGGGCCTTCCACTCCCACTTCCACTTCCACGTCCACATCCCATACCCTTCCATCTGGTGATGGAGCTGCCCAACTTGCAGGTAGAATCGCCGAGGCTCCATTTAATGCCCATTGAGGAGCCCATTTGATGCGTGGCTAACTGAGCGTGCTGGGGCACTTGCCAACTTTGCCACCAGGCGCGAAGATAATAATTTGAAATGATGGATTAAAGTAGCCGTTAAATTGAAGAGGTAAGCTAAACAGAAGGCCGTCTTTTGCGGTGCTTTGCAATTGAAAAGCGTGAATGAAAGGTGGAAATATGCCTGTGCCGTCTTATATATATTTTACAATATTTGTATTTAACATTTTAAAGCAAATATTCAAGCGTGCAGTGAGCAGGTGCTAAGTATTTGTCAGTATATTTTAGTTGCGAAATTCTTTCACAAAAATTTAATGAATGGTCTAACAATCCATCTTTGGTATGCCATTTATGGAGCATACCGGCATCCTGAAGCACTTGCCGAGGGAACAAATAATAAAATAGCAAATATTTGCACACATATCTGCATCGCAATTGACTTCAGCCCGAATTCCGTTCGGTATACAGCATTATTCAAAATGATGGACTTAAGTAGCCGTTAAATTGAAGTGGGTAAGAGAAAATAACAAGGCCAAAAGGGGGAAAGATAAATGTTTGCTTATGCCAGCGCGTGTGTTTGTGTGGCTTAAGTTTAATACGCCATTCAATCAATTTCTGCACCGCAACCCCGATCCACTGAAGCCTGTGTGCCGGGCAGCCTTATCCTGTCGATGTCCTTCCTTTTCAATATTGTCGTTTGCATTTGCAGGGGAAGCGAATCCAGCGGAAAACGAACGCGTCATTATCCTTTCGAGCAAACAAAAGCGTGACTGCTGGCCAGGACCTCATTCTCGCACTTCTTCAGCCGTCGTGATTCACATTCTGCATCTTGGATCCCGGTATCCTGCTGGCCAGCCACTCCTCCTTTTAAGTCTTTTGTCTGGCCATTTATTTATTTATTTATTTATTGTCATGCTTGTTTATTGTTTCGCCAGTGATTGCCTTTGCTTCGCTCTCTTGATTTCTAGCCGCACACTCCTGTTTTCTTATTTCAGACCATACATATGCATACGCTACGACTTGATGAAGTTTATTAGCTTTGTGGCAAATGAGTGTCAACTAGAGATAAGGACGAACTCATTTCCTTGACTGTAAAAACAAAAACGAAAAATGGCAAATGACAACATGTAATAAAAGATATTTCGCAATAATTTAGGCCCTGAAACAAGGACCAGTTACCTTGTAATTTGTGAACATTTCCGAGTTCTGAGTTAATGGGATGCTCTGTAAAATATTTTACCCTGTGCTATCTTTAAAGGATTCTGATTATTGCCTTCCCAGATTTATGTCCTTATGCTCAAATAACTCTTAATTGTAATCTCATCTAAACACCTCTGTCGCTGATATATGTCTAAAATAATAAATCCATAATGAAAATCAAGCAATAAATTTCAGTTTTATAACAACATTTTTAGTAGATGAGGGACACTGAACTTATTTGTTTAGTACTTTTTCCTTACTTAATTATTTGTGAATTTTTCAGACTGCACAAAATTCCTTTGAATGTAAAACACATTTGTATATACCTCCGGAAATCACATATTTCCGGTGAGCTCTCGGCCATTCGACGTGCTTTTAATGAGCAGCACAATTAAATTTCACTCTCAAAATTACTCGAAAGGATGAACAACAATTATGCATATAGAAAGCTGACTATTCAATGCTCTTTGTTTATTTTCAGTATTAAAAATAAATATAGCTATTTGTTGAGATTACACTTTCGATTATAGCTTAGTTTTGATGGACATAGTTTTTTATTTATATTTTTCTAACTTTTCGAATAGATCTTTTTGAATTTAGGAACTGCCCCTGAAATACCAGTCCTCCTGTATACATTAAATGAATGTTATGCAAAATTGGGAATGTACCTACGTGAGCGGATGTTTGCGTGTGTGTGTCAGTGTGTGTCTCGTCCTTTATTTTCCCATGGCATAGTATAAAACATCCTGTTGTTGGCCCTCACATGCCTATTGTCATAAATAACCCGTCCTGAAGGTATGTTTATGTTTGCGTTTGACAGTGTGTGAGAGCTTGTCTGAGTGGGTTTTGTACATTTTTTGTGACTGGCTTAAATTTGTTGCGTTATTTGCATCATTTCCGAAGCAAATCAAAAAAGGGGTGAAATGCGAGGCCCAGACAATGTGCGGCAACAAAAAATAAATAATGGCAGGGGAAAAAAGAGCTACTATGTGTGGGCGGATTGTGTAAAGTGTGTGCTTAATCAGCCAATCAATTTCATATACATATTTTAACACTCCAATGCGTTGGTAAAGAATACAATTCCAATGCCGCTTGAGTTGAGCCTCGGGCCACAGCAAAATGCCTGCTGAAACATTCCAGAGAATTCAATGCGCACAATGCAAAATAGTTCAGCATAATATGGCTATTTGGCCAGGCAATCGTGTTGAATATTTACGTTTTAATTTTTAATTATCGGCAAGAAAAATATTTCTTTCACAGCCAACTGCGACTGCATACTTAGTAGCTTATTCCAAACTAATTGGTTTTCAACCATAATTGCAGTTTTATATGCTGAAACACATTTGAGCACCTAAAGCGGGATTGGCATTCGATATTTTTAAGTTCCCCATCGACGTTGATTGCCAAGGAGAATTGCTAAATCTTCCGTGACATCATCGAGTCACTTAAATAATTTCATGTCCTGAAATTTCACAGTGTTTCGCAGCATCTAATACACCTATAGAGTTATTGGTGCCCACCCACTTATGTGAGGCGTAAAAAAGCACATCCCATAAAGTCTCCTTGCTTAGTGGCATGTCGAAAGGACCCTGTGGGAACTGCTAAAGTGCAGCCACTTAGCAGGGCTCTGTAGTTGCAGCTGGCATCGCCTAACACATCGAACGTTAACGTATTTATGGCTGCACTCAGCCTGACATCCACCAAACTGCATTGGCATACAAAGTGGGTGGCGATGGCAGTTTTGGGGCAACATAACTTAAACGGTCGACTTGAATTTCCCGTCACTACTCGTATGGCATCCATTTGGGGCAATTATAACGTTTCCTGACTTTGCAGCCAACAAGGCGAAAATACATTTGTATTCAATGTTTGTTTCTTTCGCTTGGTCTTTTTTTTTATTTTTTTACGTTTTTTCCTTTATTTTTCACCATTTTCGTAACATTTCCGCCTTTTTGCATTCAATTTAATTTAACATAAACATGTATATGCTTATATTATTATCCAACGCACACGCTGGCAGCGCAGCTGCTATTGTGCACTGTGCAGAAGGGTTTCATGCTTCAAGTGAGCATACGTAGCGTATACGTAATGTGCAATTTTGTAACGGACTGAAGGGGTTAATGCAGTTAAAGGGGTGGCCCCAGTTTATGAGGGGAAAAGTATTCACTATAAATTTTGTGTGCGCACCGCTTGCAACAACAACGGGCGAACGAGGACGGGAACAACTGCAACAACAACTTAAATCTTAAGTAGCTCAACTTGTTTATTTATCGAAGCAGAAGTTAATGCGATAGTGGTGCGGGCGGGTGGCACGTTGGTTGGTTGGTTGGTCGGATGAAAAATGCAGCAATGAGTCAACTCATTGTTGCTGCCGTGCCCACATTATTTACAACTGTAATTGCAGGTGCAGTTCGCAGGTAGGCAGTGGTTGGCTTTACACGTTAACGGCACAGGGTATTTGTTTTTGTTTTAAGCGAACTTTGCTTAAATAAGGTAAAATACAACATAAATTTAAGGAAAAATGTAGTGACTGCCCACAACATAAGGCCATAAGCTTCAGACGAATGCGGCACCCACATTCTAGATAGATACAAGCAGATACAGATACAGATACAGATACTGATATGGGGACATGATGTGGCCAACTCATGGGAATAAACAGCATAGAACAGCAGGACGAGGCGGAGTTGCAGCAGCAAAAGCAGAGCTTTTAATTTTCCAGACACGTGCAAGCGGCGTAAACAACAAAACAAGTCCGACATATCAGAGGACAAATAAGCAAAATTTGTTTTGATATCTCTGCTTGTTCTGTGGCTCTCATTGTACCCAGTGCTGGTGAGCAAGCGAAGTAGATTGCTTTTATACTATAAAATATTAGTATATAAAAATTATTTCAGCAAATAACAGAGCTATTTAGGATACACTACCTTTAAAGAGGGTATCTCTTGGTCGGAACACTAATATCAGTTTTTCCGTCTGCACGCCTATTTCTAAAGATTCGGCACGCATCACTTTAATGCAGTTATGAGAGCAGCACAGCACAGCATCAAAACCACCACTAAATTCTCCCCAACTTGCGTGCTATGAAATTGCGTAGTCGATAGACTCCATACTGCAGACTGGACAGGGACACCAACATTATACTGAGCCATGACACGGTTTTTAAAACTATCTTTGGCTTAGCAAAATTCAAAAAAGGGTATATATAGTCCTTTCCGTCTCTGAAACAAACCAATAAATATTAGAAGGCCAATGCTAAATACGGATCTTACAAGTTACGACCGCCCAGGGCATAAAATATTATTGCAAAGATTCCGTAACTATAGAGGAATGCCAGTGGATAGACAAAGTGAAGTAGACGGGCTGGTTGCGCCACCAGAAAGTTATCGATGGTGAAGAATATGGGTGGCAGCAAGTGAGTCCATATGTTATACAAATCGGAAACCCGTGTCGGATTAGTTAACACCCGATCTTTGGGATATATGGTTGTCCAGTAGATTAGTGCGATCAAGCACGCCAATGTGATGTTGATCGAATAGCAAGCCCAATAAATCTTTATCCAGCCACTCGGGGGAACTAAGTACATTGGAGTATTATATGTATAATGTTTAATAAATGAATTCATGTAAATTCTTACCCCAGGTTTCCGGCTTGCAGTGATAGATAGTCACAAGTATTGCTCCGGCAATACCGGTTATGCCGCACAACACAAATCCCCAGTTGGTCAGAAAAATAAAAAAGTTTCCGTTATTGTAGTACTGGGAAATACAACCGACCACGCCCGTTCCAAAGAATCCGCCTAAGGCCCATCGATAGGCCAAGAAAATAGCCGATTTCGGTCCAGCCTGCCACTAGAGGTACAACTTTGTAGAACATGTCGTTGGAAAAATTGAAAAACAACCAACTTGCGATCGCAGGAAGTCCGTGGGAGTGTGATGACTTAAGCCCAGTCTACTGAAGCGGAGCTCATCCCGTAAGCTTAGGGGCCTTTGAAGATTGCCGGAAGATGGTTCTGGCTCCGTTCCGGCCAGCAAACGAAACATTTACTAATAATTTGTTAGGTTTATTTCGAATGTGATTTTAAGTTAATTTTATATCAGCAAGGAAATGACTTTAAGTTCAAGGGTTTGCAATCAGCATAGAAACGACTTTAAGTTCAAGGCCCGAATGGGCATCGACTTTTCGGCGCCAATTATCCCATCGCATACTCCCTGGACTCCTTATCTCACGGAGCACGCGGCCTGGCCTGCATAATTAACAGATACATGCGATTCAGTTTGGGTCTTCAGTGCGTGCGATTCAGTTGGGGTCTTGCCGTGGTTCATGGAATCCGCGCAAATTACGACATGTGGCTGACATCATTTTCCTTCCTCAGCCATTCAAAGATTACGCCGGGCGGAAGTGGGCTCCGGGAAGAATGGGACAGGATGTCGTTTTGAGCCAAGCAGACGCTTTTAATTGAGAGACACTTGGCTGAGCTGTGGCGTGCAATTAAAATGCCATTACATGTCAAAATAAAGCACCAGCTGCACAGTGCTCGCAATGCTCTAAGGCACAAGAATCATTTTTTAAAAAATATCAAAGCCATGTATTGCATTAAAATTGCAATTTAAATTTAATAAAAAATAATATATTTATAAAAGTGATTAAAAGATAAACCTATAAACTTTTGTGTCACCTCTGCGCCACAGTGCCGCTTTGCCTAGTAAGTTCCGATAGGAATGTTTTGAGATTCTTTCCAGCTTCCGGCGATGTTAATCCCTGGGTATTTCTGCTGTGCGAAAAAACTTGGTCTAAGTACTTAACACCCTGGAGAATCCTGCAGGCGAAATCCTTCCTGCTGCCCGCCACACTCCTTTATTGTCCACAATGCCACTTCGTACACTACTCCAAACAAATCACGTCGAAAGCATCACATAGTTGTATATATTGAAATAAACATCTAACGCCCAAGTCCACCTGGGCATCATTTAATATGCAAATTTGTTGCCAACATTCTCTCAGTTGATTTTGTCGGAAAATTTGCATTGTCTACGTCCATTGGTGTGCCAAGTTTCGTTTTTCCAATTGATTAGCTGATTTTTACATCAATCAAAAACAATATTTTTGATGAGACAGGAAATTTAAGTCTAAATCTCAGATCAAAGACAACGTTACATTCGTCAATTGCTGCGGAAATTTATTAGTAGGCTTGCATTTTACAGAGTCTTTGATAGTTTGAAACCTTTAAGGGTGAAATTGAATTGGCGTTGAACAAAAAGTATGCAAAGTGCAATCAAATTGAGTTTGCGTTAAATAAGTACCAATGGGTTTTTTAGAACTATGTGGACACTACGAGCTGTTGGGGTGGAAAAAGTACAGAGTTTTCGTTCGAAGCATTTCCTTAGTTCAAACGGGAAAGTGAGGGTTCAATTGAGCTCCGTGAGCCTGGGGAAAAATTAAATTTGCCAGCGGCAAGCCCAATGGCGTGTCCTACTTTCTCCCGTCCAAGGAAGTCAACTCTTTGGCAGTTTGCCATCAAGTTGCGCTTTAAAAGTGCGTGCTGCCATTAGGGAGCCTTCATGTAGCAGGGCGAAGTCAAGGGTTAAGTGTTTTAAAGTGAGACGCCATTCAGGCCATTTCTATGTTATCGCAATTTACCAACCACTCCTGGCGCCCCAGGAGGCGATACCTCACGTGTCATTATCTTAATACAAGCCAGTCCTTGCCCCGATCGTCCTTTCCACATGCACCCGGTTGATGGAGCTTCTTTCAGCTCCCATATCTCTTACTTGAATACACAATTAAGTGGCAGGGCGTTTGCCAGTGTGGAGTTCGCATGTGGGGTGGCTTAAAATTAAATTTCTCATGCTTAGAGTGCGCGAGGACCTGTGCCGTTGCTCATTATTATATAGTCACGTGGCTGGGGTTTCAAGACGATACGGATACGGAAACGGTTTGTGGCACGTTACTGCGCGGCTATATCACAACTTGAGATTCGTCGAGAGCTCTTCCAGTTCTAGTACGTCACTCCAGTCGGGTAAACTAACTTTGCGATAAAGTGCAAAAACGAAAGGGGTGCAAGAAATGCTTAGAAGGAAATAAAATTGCTTAAATGTAACCAGCAGCAGTTAGGGGTTAAAAATACTCTAGCTACAGTGAAATTAATTAAACTTTACTATTATATTTAAGTACAAGCATTATAATAGCTACCTCGCAATAACCACTACCTAATAAAATCTCATAGGGTATCTCAATTTCCTTACGCCAGATTTTTACAACTTTTTTGCTTTGTTTTGATGTTATTAGTCTCTTGGGAATTTCACATGCAATTTGCAATCTTTCTCTTTGCCACTACAGTTCGTATATATTTAGTGTGTAAATCTAATGAGTATATAAGCACATTTATATATACTTGGCAGAATCTACAGAAAGCTCGTTTGTGTGGGTGGCATAATGGGAAAGGTTTCTGGTGCTTATATAGCTGCTCATTGAAATAATATCAACATGTTATTGCATTCGAATTCAAAACGTTGTGCATACTGCAATAGAAATCAACAAAAGTGACAACACTTATGTATCACGTTCATGTTAACCTAAATAAGGAGCTATATTCCATAAATATCAATATGAAAATGTTATGAAATGTTATATAAGCAATCTGCTTGTTTTTGATATGATATTTGCTATTTCTTATTTATAGGATATACTTTGGTTATTCTCACTTGAATTTAACATGGAATAGGTAAGGTCTCAGCTATATTTCAACTATATATCGTTACAAATTTGTAGTTTGAAATATATGTTTTTTGAAGTTCTGCAAAGTAAAACTTTAAAGAATTTTATTCATCTCAGTAAAACGGGGAATATTTTGAACAAAACTTGTTGATTTTCTCAGAAGTGCATTTAAAAGTTCCGCAATTTAATTATCACCGAAGAAAGCGCAAACACAACAAGCCAACTTGGCAATGCCCTCTCTCCCCCGGCCCCCTGCGGAAATCAATGCATGCCCAAATGCATCTGGATCTGAATGCATATTGAAAATGTGCATAAAGGCCGGCTGGGTCGAAATGAAACGGGGTGGTGACAATGCCGTCTGCTCGGTATTTATGCAACTCGCACACCCACAATCAATTATGCAATATGAAAAGCCAAGGCTTGTCCGAGTAAAACGAAAAATCGAAAAGCATTTGCGGCAATTTCTCAATTTCGGGGTGAAGGCAGTTGGCATGGCATGCAGGGGGCTTGAATTGTGACCCAGAGGCGTCGAAAAGGGGCAGTCTGCTTTCCATTGGGCCAAGAGATAGGGCCAGGGATGGGATGGAGTGCTGTCAGGACAGACGGCATCGTAACCGGACCCCCGGGCTACGTCGACGTCTGCATTGCGCCATGCAAACTCGAGCTGCGGCAGCAACAACTCATTTTTTCCCATTTTGTATTATTGAGAAAGAGGGGGGGAATGTCGACTGTCGACTGCCGACTGCCGATTTTCATTGAATATTTTTCGGCCAAAACGAGGCCCTCTTCAGGCCTGGAACGTGCGGAGCTCACAGGACGAGTCAGAGTCATGGCTGCCAGACTGTGTGGCGGGAGTTTGTGCCAAAGGCTAGCAAACAGTTTGAGCCACCAACAATAGCAACAATAGGGCTCGAGACTCTGCTACTCGACATTCTGCTGACCTCAATATTTGTTCAACTTTTCAGCAACAATTTTGTTATGCGATTTTGGCCCTCTCGCCATCGCCCCCGTCGCTCGGCTGTCATAAATGCCTGCAGTTTGGCAGTTTTGTGCAGTGAAAGTGATTTTCGGATGGGTTCAGTGGGTTTATTGCTTTGATTTGCCGCTTCTCCCGCTACTGCTGCTGTTGCTAAACTTCTGTGGTGCTGATTACGATGGTTGGGGGTGTGGCTTTTGGCCAGCAATCAGTGCCGGCAAATCAAATTTCATGCCTCAAACAAGAATCTACTGACTGAGCTAAAGAAAGGCGGCCGATTTAAAAGAAAGGGCTTTCCACATGCCCAAAACATTTATGCTAGCTCGGTGGCACTCACCCACATGCGGCCAAGGAGGCGGCACACCAGGACCCCTTGGCAAACGGGGCCCAAACACAGGACGGTGAGGAGGCGCAGGCTGTGGGCGTGGCCATGGACCAACAACAGCTGACAAATGGCTAAAGCGAAACAGACGAATAGCACAAAGTTGGACAACAGCACCAGTGTGCTAATGAAGGCCAACTTGCAGCGCTGCAACGAAATCGAAGAAGTGCGCCGACCACAAACACAAAAGGGTAATCACTTCTTACGGGCACCAGGAGAGCCAAATTAAATGGCAACAGCAGGGCCAGATGATGCCTGAAAAGGACCTCAAAGAAGTGCCAGGTGGATGTCCTGAGGACCTCGTGCCAACTCTGAGGGCGTCCCGCTGCAATGCCTTCTTCATACACCAGTGGTACGTAGTAGAATGAGTTCACCGCTCCGTCCGAGTTAATCGATGCTGTTAAACAAGAAGTTTGGCATTCTAGATTAATCAAAAGTGCTTAGAACCTACCCTGGGCCAAATGCTTGAACATATTGATCACGTAGTACAGCAAGAAGTTGTGCAAAATGAGCAGCATAGCGTCCTTCTTAAAGGGGTGTATTGATCGCTTTTAATTGAAACCAATTAATGCAGCATGTTCTTATATATATATAGTATAGCTTACGAAAATCAACGTTATTTGGTAGAGGAAAATAATGCAAGTCACAATGAGCTCGTGGAAATCGGCCATTATAACTGACTGAGCCCTACAATTGTACAAATTTTGAATCGGGTTTCCAAAACGAAATTTAGTCAGCTAGACACTGAAATCGCTGCGTTAGATCAAATGATTTCAATGCTCCAGCAGCCAGAACCTGTACTTAAGATTATCCAACAAAATAATAAGTTAGAAATAGACATAAACAGGGTTCTTAGTAAATTGAGTTAAATACATTGCCGAGAGTAAAAGGTAAATTACACTAGTACTGCTTGAATTAACTCGAAATACCTTAGCCTTGAGATATCTTGCCTTTCAATTGTATCTCTACCACTCTCAGGATCCCTGGCCACGCAATTCATCTAGATGCATCAACATCTCTTCCTTGACGTCACCTCAATTATTATGCCTACAATTAAGAGTCTTCGGCCGCAGGTATTCTACAAACCTAATGGCTTACAATTACCAATTAACAGATTATTCCAGTGACCAAAGTGCCTGATGAAGATGAAACATCAGAGCCAAGGCTGTGCAATAGTCGAGGGCTAAGCAAAATAATTTAATTTAAATTTCCAGCCTGTGCAAATATTGTAAAACATTCCGGCACATTTAAAGTGCAGCTGAAAATTAACTGTCAGTCAGGCAAAGAGGCCACAGACATCAGAAACTGCAGCGACAACTGCAACAACTTTTGCACAACTACAGCAACAGCAATAAGAGTTACGAAAACAATAACCACACAATGGCAATGCAAGGCAATATTCGCATATTAAACAAACAATAAACATTGTTAATTAATTTACTTCAACTCGAGCGGTAACTGCACTTCAGCGAAATGGATGACTTTAATCGACGATGACTAATGTGATCGAATAGCTGTAGTACACAAAAACTATATTTAAACAGAAGCTCAAATTTGTATAAAATATTAAGAACATATATTCACTAATTTTTCTTTAAAGTATCAAAACTTCCACGAAATTACTTTCCAGAACAGGCTTCGAGCTCTTATGGAATTCACTTATTAACGCTTATATGATGTGGCGCTTACTTCGGGCTTTTGATAACTTGTGGCATATTTCACGAGCAGTGGCCATAATGCCCCATGCAAGCGGTATCATTATAAATAATGACTCTGATTAAATATGATGTAATCCTTTGCCAGGGCTACCGATTCGGGCATTTTTAAAATGCTGCAAACTTAATTAAGCATTAATCATAGGCGGCAAGCTGGGAAGGGAAGTGCTGGATGAGATAAGGCGATTGGAGGCTGGAACAGACAAGTGCATTAATTAACGGTCTGCTGTCCCTGGTAACTGACCATAAAGGATTTGCGTTATTAATTGAACGACTTTCGGATCAATATTCTATAATACGCAATGGGAGCTCTGCCCTCTCGGGCCACACCCACCACATTGCATTATGGTATCGTACCTTTACGTTTTATTTTTAGTAATTTGTTCGTTTGGGCCATTTAAGAATAACTGTCACGTACGTGTGGCATGGCCCGAACACACTTACCATTTCATCAAAGTAAATCGAGCTTGAATTGATTTCGCACACACAAGCCGTATCAGCCATATCAGCCTCCTCCTTTCCACAAAAACTACCTTGGCTTGGCCCTAATGTGTGTCATTTGGCCGGCAGTTATCTTAGGGCCAAATGCACAAAGGGGCGGTAATTTTGCGAACATTTCCTTTTCTTTTTGCCAAAAACAAAGAACCACGCTGTTTTTTTGTTTTTATTATTTTTCTTTATTTGATTTTACTTTCTTGTTAGCTAAGTGAATTTTTATTGGCCATAGCTTTTAGTAATTTTCCATTATATTTATTCGATTGGGGACTACACTTTCTGGCACACATCTACTATAATTTCATATTAACTTTAGTTATTGTGTATGAAACTTAATGCGTAGCGGTAGCTGCATTTTTCCATCAGCAAGCGCAACAAGTTATAACCGAAAAAGCCAAGCACTTTTAACTACATTTCTGCATTCATTTCAATTTCATTTGCAACAGTACTGGGGGAAAAAAAAACGGCGAAAACTGAGACTCATTTACACATTTATGTGGGAAAATGTCAACTCCTGAGTAATTTATGCACACAACGGCATTTAAATGCCTTTTATTTCCAGTTTTTCCGAATAAGGCCGCTTCAGTTCGTCACTGTTTCGGGTTCACTTTCATTTTTCACTGCGCAATGTCCCTCTGAGTAAGAGAAATGAGCTGTAATGGGTGCCAAAAGCCAACGACTGGGAAACGGGAGACAGGAGGCCAACAGGCAATTTATGCGAGCCTGGGGAATTGTTTCGAAAATTGACAAATTATGGTTGTAAGTGCTGCGATTAGTCCGTTCCATTCGCCCTTTCGTTTCTTACTTGCTTTCTCCAACTGTCCCAAGGTCTCCAACTGTCTCCTCAAAGCCGCAAATGTGCATTACATGCTGGAACAGCTGAAACAGCAGAAACGGGTTTATGGCATCCAAAACATTGCGGGCACTGCGTGTTATTAATAATTCAATTTAGCTGTCTCACAACAGGCGCCGGCGGTTCAGAGAACTCTGGAAAAGCTTCGGGCACGCAACTGCGATACCTTCGAATCCCTCCCATTTCCCGCCCACTTCCCGACAGTTCCATTTCCACGGCGCACAGCTCATTAACTATTCATGCAAGTTAAGTGCGAAAGATCATATAGTGGAATAATAAATTGAATTTCGCCGGGCAGCTGGAACAGCCGCAAATAGCTACACGTGTATGAATCGAAAACCCAAAGGGTTTCCTCCGAATAAGTACACGATTTTTAATTTGTTTATATTGCCAAAATACATTTTGAACTGTTTATGCTCCTACGAATCTAGCTAACGAACGCTGAATTTGGAAAACGAAACCCACAATTTGCAGACAAGAAGAATGGATGGATGCCTGTCTGGATGGATTAAATACAGGATGCGCGGTCTGGAATGGATCTGAAGATTCAGGAACAGGGGTTGCAGATACGACGGCGCTTGTGGCGATCACTAGTGGTGACCTTGCATGCCTGAAAGAATACACATTCAAAATCACCATAAATAAATAAAATAAAAACAGCGTACCATGCGCCGATAGCGATCCTTTTTTTCCTCGGGTAGCTTGGCCCAGGCTTTCGCGGCCTCCGTAATCAATTCCTGGGGCTTGAGGTCACAGTGCTTTTTGCGGAAGGATCGCACAAAATTCAAATAGCCATTATTGGTGACGGGACCCTGCTTGCTGCACTTGACCCTGGGGCAACTCTTTTCCTTCTTGGGTTTACAAGCCGATCGCTTCGGCTTCGCACACGTTACCCGTGGCTTGGCACAAGCGGCCTTTCGGCGAGGCTTGGCACAGGACTTCTTTGGCTTGGCACAGGACGATTTGCGCGGACAACGCCCCATCGCCTGGTTGCACATTTCATTGAGACCCTTGGGCTTTTCATCTTCTAAGCACATGGAAATGACGCCTATTTTGGGATCGGGCATGTGGCGGTAATGGTTTTTTTCCTCTTCGCTCATTTCCTTCCAGGACTTGGCGCCCTGCTCGGCGAACTCAATCCAACCCATATCGCCGTTTTGGTGAAGGAATTCGCGCAAGTAGTTTAGGAATCCACTCCTTGCCCACGATCCATTGCACATGCTCTGGCTTTCATTTACATTGTCTGTACTCATTGTATTACAAGTCGGTTTGTAAAAGGCTTTCAAAACTATAGAAAAATTCCACAAATCCTGAAAAGAAATGGGGGTATTGCTATTAACTTTGATGTGGGATGTACATATGTGCTACATGCGAGTGTCTGCCTCCAGTTGCGTCCTAGAGCAGTCACTTAGTCAGTGAGGAAACCGAGTCTGAAACCCGACGACCATGATGAAGACCTGAACTGCAGGCGACATGCGGTTGCAACTGCAGCAAAGCCCATAATTAATATCAGTTGCAAACTGCCTCTCGACAACCGACGTTTAGTCACCATGTGTGGGAGCCTAAGTGGCGGTTCTTGGCCAAGACCAATGGGTATTAGGAACTGGTTATTTAATTGTCAGGGAAATTCACAGTGGTTTGTACCGGCACCAAATGGGCAACAGCAATAAATTAATTGAAAGACTCCAGAGTCCAGAGACAAACAGTAAAAAAAAAACAACAATATCTGTATACTTATTTACAGAGATAATTCAAGATTAGTCAAGTCTGCTGAAGTCCGAGTAATTAATTTGCCACCCAGCTGATATTTTGGGTTTGACAAATATTAATTCGAAATATTAATTTGAAATCGTTATGGATGTGTACAAATTACAATTTGTGACCAGCTGTGACCACCGCACCGCACTGCCTGCATATTGTCTTTCCAACTCCACCAAACACCCAGTTGGAATACAAAATTCCCTTTAACCGGAGCTCTCTGTGCAGTATGAATAAACAGCAGGAGTTGCATGGGATATTAAATGGCATTGTTCTCGGGGCTTCACCGAGAGAAGGTTCTTAAAACTCAAATTGATTGATTAAGTGCTAAAACAGCTATAAAAGCCAGCGCGGCAGGTAAAACTAAGTAGGAACCGACAGGAGTCGAGGGCGCCGAGTGATTATCATTAGCCGCCAGAGTAGTTGCCATTTAGCACGCACAACGAGATGAACGCCAGCAACATCAGCAGCAGATGCAACAATGTTTGAGTAATTGTTTGCCCTTGCTGCAGCGTCAACAGCAGCAGCAGCAGCAGCAGCAACTGCAGATGCAACAAAATTTGCATGCAAACACAAGTCCCTACTCACCACCCCTGGCCCTCAACCCCACACTCATTGCCCCATTTGGCTGCACACGTAACTGAACGGTGGCAACAACTGCAGCAGTAATTGCAACAAACAATTAGCGTCACTTGGATTTATGTTTACGAGCGGCTGCCTGGACATTTTCGGCCACAATGACAGTGTGCCCCCTGTCCACTTGGGCCTTTTATGGTTGTCAACGAGCAAAAAGTTGATCAATCAGGACGTGTAATTTATTTACAATTTCACTCTGGCAACGAAAGAAAGAGCCAAGAGTTTTTTCTTCCGATTAACTCGATCTTTCTTTCGGCCGAACCGCGTGCACTATGATTTATTTCATGGCCCTGCGCTGCTGCCATTGTTGTTGCAGCATGTAAATGACGTCATTACAAGGCGTGGGGCGTGGCAAGGTGGTTGGATGTCGACGGACTGGCCCCGGGCATTAGTTTAAGGCCAGATAGGAGGCCACATCCATCCGACAGCTAGACAAACACGCGGGCCGCCAAAAAGGCGTGGCCGCCGAGTTTCCGCTTCGACTTGCAACACTTTAGTGCAACACGCCCCACAACCTTGCACTCGACATTAAACGTATCGCACAAGCTACTCTTACCGAGAACATTTTTGCAAATCCAGTTTATCGAAAGTGATTATTACACGTTATATTGTAAAACTAAATCGTATATATTTTCTAGTTCACTTACCCTCTGAAGTTTCTATTTATAAAAAACCGAACTTTTCCCACAACTAATTTAAAAAAAAAGCAAGAAATATGAGATTACAAATTTTTGGAAGAATTTTGTATGTGAACTGTTTGTGTGCCACTCCAAGTTACAACTGATGTTCAAAGGAACCAACTGCCAGGTGGAGACGTTATACAGCAAAAGGAAAAAGCGACGCCAACTAGATGGAATAAAGTTAGATTTGATCGAAACGACGCCGACGGCTACGCATCCTGGGCAACATCCTTTTGTTAGTTGGGCAGGAGCCCATGTTTCCCAATGCCGTGGGCGGTATGTTAAGTTTTCCTCATAGGTGGCATAAATTATGTGAAACCATTTTTTCATACCCACTATTGCTCGTGCCAAACTCTCTGCGGCTTATTAAAATTTCTAGCCGCCGGGCTAACAAACGCGGTGGGGCTAAGAAATTTTGGGCGAAACGTCTTGGGGATTCCGATTGTTTGGACATGTGTGAGGTTTTCTATTATCTGTAAAATGTTATGATTTATTATGTGCGGGCTCAAGTTGATGGTGCGGCCATAAATTGTGACCCTTTGGAGTCTTTTGCCTTTGCCTTTGCCTCTGCCGTTGGCTTTGCCGCTTTCTTTTCCGTCGGTTCATCTTTTGGTCTCTGCCTTTGCCAGCAGCAGTTAAGTCAATTAATTGGCCTTAGATTTATTAGTTTTTACCCCGCCGTACCCTGGCCCCATTTAGCATAGGTGCCGTGATTTATTGTTGCAGGAATGCCAAAACAACAAGGGAAAATTCCTCGGGCTTGGCTTTGGCACGCACACTACTGGCAGAGTATTCGTAGTTCAGGTGACTGGGGAGGTGTGGTATTTGCATATAAATAGATATGTCAGCTAAAATATGAACAACATGAGTGGGCTCCTGTGTTCTATATTTTGTAATTTCCGCCTCGCGGCGAAAACGGGAAAACGCTTCCATTGCGTGCCGCGATAAACACAAATTTCAAGTTCTCCGCTCGGACATTTTCCATTAAATTAGCCTCAGTGTCAAATACTGACACCCAAAACTGATGTGCCCACGGGCGGCTAGTACACTCATTGTAGCCTAATGCTACGCTGCTGAATTATTAACTGGGTCAAAGTAAGGGCACACATAAAAAGTATCAGTGTACGCGTCTTATGAAACAAGCTGTCAGAAGCCCGACCTTTAAATATCAAAGTAAGGCGATTATTTTGTATTAAGATATTTTATACTTAAAGTAAAAGTAATTTTATAAAAGCTATATTTCATAGAACAAGGAAACAGTTTTCTGATAATTTACTCGTTGCTTTTGGTAGTTTGAGCTTTATTGCTTGAGCTTCCAAAAGAATTTCAACTTTATAAGTTTAAGAATCCAATCAATCACTACGGCCCAAATAGAAAAAGACGCAAGGAACGACAGACGAAATGATTTTCATCCAAGCCATGTTGACAAATTCGGCTGTAGGCCAAAAGGCATCACGTCGTCACATGAGCCAAGTCCCGGATTCAAGTGCAAGGATTCGCATATGTGAGTGCTCGCAATGACGCCCCCACTATCATCGCAGTTGGATGCTGTTTTCCTGCCACCCGAACGCCCCGTTTTCCATCGGTTTGCCGGTGTAATAACTTAAAATCCCATAATAAAGCTACTTACTGCCTTCGTCGTTTGGCGATGTCCTCGTGGCTCTAACAATAACTATTTTTCCTTGGATTTGGCTGGCGATGTGGCTCGAATTGAGTACCAGAGGCATTCTGCCACCGCAAATGTGCAAGTCAAGTGCATACGTCACTGGTTCCATTCAGCAATGCCATACCTAAGGTCTAAGTGCACAGCATCCATTTGGTCTTATTTATTTTGCCGTTGCTCTGCTCTTGTTAGTTACTTTTCTGTCTATAAAAAATATCCTGCCGAGCGGCTGGATTAAGATTGAATTTTTCTTGGTTTTGGTGCTACATTTTTTTTATACTTTTTATCAGGTTTCTTTGCCGAAGCAGAAATTTTTATCTGGTCGTTGTCAGGTGAAGAGTCGTTTAGATATCCCACACAAAAGACTGCTAAAAATATTTTCATGTTGAAATAGAAATATTTTTCCATTGAAAATGGAAACGATTTTCCCATTGTGTCTGGAATTATGTGTGTATGTGTATGTGTGTACAACCGGATGTTGTACAGTTATTGGAATGTCTCTTCATTTCCACTACCCATACTCGAGAACCTCTGGAAACGGGGCACCGACAATGGACTATTAGTTGGCATTTTTCTAGATTTTTTGTCGTCCTCAAACTCCTTGTTATAGTCGTCGACAGGAAATGGTAAACTGATTTCTCTTATTAATTTCAGTTGGCAATTTGTGCAGATAAATCAGCGCAGTTGTTAGTGCCACATTGGCATTTCGTTCCGTCCCTCTTTCTTTTGTACCCAGAAGCCAATTCAATTCCCCCGAAAAGTAAGCTAAGCAATTGCTCGCATATTTGTTAAGAATAAGCATGCCGGAATTTTTCAACTAAATTAACCTTTGCCTGGCACTCGTCCAACTGGAGAAATGAATGGGGATTTTGTAGGGAAGGAATATTTATCAGGATGCGATTGAAGTTTCCAATGGAATTTTCAAGTTGTTGAATTTAACTGGCCAAGAAATTACTTGATGGCAGATTTTATGTAATAGGCATGCTTTATAGGGCTTAAATATAAAATCTGTACGCATTATTTTTCTTAATGGAACTCGTTTTTAATCACGTGACCCTCAGAAGTATACAACGTTCTGCCGATTGCAATGGTATTTTTAATGGTTTCAATTAAGCCGAATGGTCGATTCGAGGCATTATAACAACATTAACAATAATAACAGCAACGACGTGACTTTTGTGCAAATTGTTAACGTCGGCGTTCCCGCGACATTGTTGTTGTTGCACCGGCTGTTGCGCTAAATATTTTAATTAAAGAAATAATTACATTAAATGCATTTCCTGCATAACACACGGATCGCGCCGACATCGCCCACAAGCAGTTGGTATTTTTTAAAACTTCATTAAGCGAATTTATTGCAAGCAGGCCTTGGCCATCCGACAGTTTCGAACAGAATGCAATTTAAATCCAACTCTCACACACATACACGCGAAAAAACCAGAAAAAAAAATCGAATAAAAGTGCTACAAATGAATGTGCAAGTGTCACTTTTGGGTCATCAATGAATTGCGCACCTTCGACATTTTCCGCTCTTAATTATTTCAATAAAATCAGCATACGAAAATAATCATCAGAGAAACAGGCTTCGGACAAATTATAAGATTGAACTCGAAATGCGGTTAACACAATTATAATTTCAATTTGGTGCTGGTATCGTACGGAGTGGGATAATCGTAGTGAAGACTTTTTAAACTATTTGCATAAAGTTGGTTTATTACCTTTCTTTATTTTCGCAATGCATACCCCATTTGGGTACCAAAAACTAAAGGGATATCTTATTAAAATATGTACCATTACGTGTAAATAATATCTCCCAATCACATTTTTCGAAACATGCTTCAAAATGAAACAGGAGCCTAGACTTTCGCATAGATTCAAGATTGTACAAATTTAACGTCGCTTCCTTGTTGCTGTTGCTGCTATATTCCTGTTTCCATTTGCTGTGGCATATTTAATAACAGCGCATTAAGATGCGACACATTTGCAGTCAAGTCAACAAATTGCCGGCAGCAATGCCACCCCACCACTCGCACCACCCGCACCACCCGCACCACCAGCACCACTCAACCACCGCCCCCGTTTTGGCAACACCCATTTGGCTCACACTCTAAATCTTGACGACGTGCGCGCTTTAATCTTGTTTAAAAATGCGCAGCTGTAACAACAACGACGGCATCGCAAAATGCGTGCTTGTGTGCTAAGGTGAGGCAACTGAGTCACAGTGCCAAAACGGAGATGTGGGCCAGTCGAATGCGAAATACTCTTCAAAATGTACAAAGTAAAACTTTGCAAAGTAAAGTGCACAATCCAGAGAATTCAACTTACTTCTTACAAGGAATAAAGGTACTTTGATCAGAAGTACCAAACACATATCTTAAAAAAATGTAAAATACTAATGCTGTAAGCCATGCCAACTTCTCGAACTTTTCGCTAGATTTTAAGGACCTTTAGAAAGGGCACGCTGGAAAATGAGGAAGGTGCGGTGTGGTTTTCGGGTGGGAAAATGCTAGCTGTATTTAGGCGGACGTCTTGTCAAATCTGCGCCGTGAAGCATTCTAATGAGAAGTGCTCTGCTCCAAGTTTTTCTGGCCCGTCTTCGCTACAAGGCCAAAAGGAGGAAAAGAAAACAACAAAGCTGGGCTATCACAGCCACATAATCAAAGGGCAGCCACTTTGCCTGCGTTTTTTATGCTCGCCGTGGAATTTCATGTTTCCTTTTCTTTCTGCACGGCGGTTTTTTCAGCCTTCCTTTTACGTGAGATATATAATTTCATATTTTTTAAGATAATTACGTCGATAAGTTGGAAAAAGGTAATGCATGCCGGTAAATAAACCAAAACGAGAACGCCTAGCCCAAGGGTGAAAGTTAAATCATAAAGAATTGGTAACGAGGCCAACAAAAATGACAAAAGTGGAGGAAAAAATCACGATTACATTGTTATGCAGAGCTGTTATTATTATTATAGATATGAGTAATTTGCAACTAATTTTTAAACTATATCACTACATTAGACTTCAACTTTTTATATTTCAATGTAGAAATTTTCGAAATAAAAAATTTAATAAAATGGTTAAAAACAGTTCGTTTTTCCTTTTAATTTATTGCATTTTTCTTAGTTCCTGTTCTGCGCTATCTTTCATTTTTCATTGACTTCCAGATAAAAGCTATTTATTTCCCAAGCTTAATTTACAGCTAAAAGAGAAATTATTGAAACACAACGGCAAGAATGCATTTAAATCACAGATCATTTTGCACTTTAAATGTCATCTTAAAATGCAGGCTAAGGTGCCGGTGGGTAAAAATACTATTACTGTTTGCTAAAAAATTGTGAAATAAACACAGTACTATCCTTTGGTTATTTTATGAAATTGTGTGCTCCTGTATGTTGCACAGAAAGCCCTGTCATCATCCATCGAACTTAATTAGTCTGCCCGATGTCATTGGTGGCACGCACGCCCTCTGGTCGATTTAATCAA